CTGCCTCCCGCGCCGCGGGGAGGAGAGGGACACACGGCCTTCGAGACACAGAAAAGCTGCCGTTAGCTCAGCAAGAGTGAGCTCTGCAGGCCGCTCAGGGCCTCAGCGCGTGCCCTGGGCAGATCCCGGACACCTTCCCTCCCGCGGCCACCCGTCCTGCCTCCTGCTCAGCCCACAGTGCCCAGCGTGCCTCGTCTCGGCCTCCTTCAGCTACTTGACCACCAGGTAAGTCACCCTTCGGCAAAGCGACGCGGGGAGGGACGCGGCGGGGATGAGGACGGCGTCCGCTCAGCCACCGCGGCGGCCGTTTCTGCCGCTCCGCTTTGAACACAAACATTCCGGGTGGCTCCGCGCGGCCTCGGCCTCCCCTGCCCTCCCGGGGCTGCCCCTGCGCCTGCCCACGAGCCAGCACTACCGCAGCCATTAGTTTGAAAGGGGATTAAGCTTTCCTAAGCGGAAAGCCGTAGGAGATTACAGGGAAAATAATAAGGCTAGAGTTGCTAATGGGACTTTTGGCTTCAGCAGGGAGAGCCTCAGCCGCTGCTGACAGATGCACTTGGAGGGCACAGTGCTCTGCCTGTCACCAAAGGCTTAAGCGATTTATGGGGAATTTTTCTTCTCACTGGAGATGCACTTTGGGCCCTGCAGCTGCCTTTGCCAGGCAGGGGAGCATCTCTTCTTCTGCCACATCTCTGCAGCACTTGCTAGGACATCGCAGGTTGTGCAGCTTCCTTAAACGGCCTGGGATGCTCAGGAAGAGCTTAGTGCTCCCCCTTCCCTTGCCAGCCCCATGGCCAAAGAGAGCTGTTAATTAAAGCCTCCCAAGGAAGGGGGCCTGAGGCACCCTCTCTTGCTTTGCTGCCTCCCTTTCAATGTGACAGTTTGTTCCCCAACGCTCATGTGACACATCGGGTTGCTGTCACAAAGCCAAGCAAAGCAGGGGCTGGGAGCAGAAAGCCTTTTCCAGAACTGGGAATTAGCTGCATGCCAGGGCAGGGGACTGCCCTGCCCGCAGAGCGGATCAATCCCCTCCAAGATGCAGTTACCGCAATCACCTGTAGCCTGTGCAGGGTTAACACGTAGCCCTGGGCACAAACTGCGAAGGAGGCGCCTTGTGCTGCAGCACCGGCCTGGGCATCCAAAGTGCTTTACAAAATACAGCCCCTCCTGGCACTCGCACAGCATCTACAGCAACATATCCACCTTGCTCAGGAGGCAGCACCTGGCCCAAGAGCGGGGTGGCACAAGGAAGGCGCTGCCGTGTCGCGCGGGCCACAACTGTCCTTCCCCTGCTGCGCTAAGGGCACTTGGACACCAAACAGAAGACACCGGTAACTTTTGAGTTTAGTAAAATCATTTATATACACTGATGCATAATATTTACATTATAATACTGATCCAAAATAAACTAACATAGTACAGTTAACACTGAAGAGGAGAAATGAAAACATTTTAATACACAGAAGTTAAACGTGGCAGATGAGGGGAGACTCAGATTTCCAAAAGAAAAACCTGAAGTGATGACAGTGAAACTTTGACGTGTTGCTATTTCCAATCAAAACCTCTTTCTCCTAGTCAAGTTCTTCTATTTTTTTTTCTTTTAATATATATAACTGAAAATAGTCAAGTCACAGGAAAAGTCAGATATACATAAAATTTTGAAAAGGTCAAATGATTTCAGATATTTCTCTCTTAAATAAAATTCTACTAAAAAAAAAATTAAAAAAGAAGCCCTACATGTTTTCCCCATATCCTGTTAGTGTTTTTACAAAGAATTTCTTCTTTGATCCCACATGACCCATCTCGAGATATTTACAATATTCACAGTCTGCTATAAAGGATCAGTAGATTTATTACCAAGTCAAACATTGCATAATCTAGACAAGCTACCTTTGCTACGTCTACTGAAAAATAGTAATAATAATAATTAAAAACATAGGGAAGAGAAAGTAAAATATAACTTTAAAATTGGTATTTAATTTTGAAATCTGAAATGTAGCTTAACGCTTTAAATAATAAAGTTGTTATGCTCAACTTCCTCACATAAATAAAACCATTTGACCTTGAATCATCAAATTGACATTTCTTTATCTGTCCCTCCCTGCCTCCATTTTCAATCAGGCCATTTTCACTTATCACAGACAATAAAAACCAATAGTCCACACATAAAAAGCAGTTCCTCATCACAAAAACCCTTGGGATTGATGACTTCCCTCTAAGACACCAAAACACTTTACAGTCAATCACACAGGCACTGTCTGCCCTAACAAGGGGAGCAGCTACAACCAGATCCGTTTTTATGCTAGGAAGTTCTGGCCAAGATACTGTCAGAGATTCCCCTCTTTAGTGGATACTAAAGTGCTTTTGTGGGGAACCTTCTGCTCAAAGAAGGGTGATTTTCTTATTTACTCCTCTTTTTGCCGTTCTTGAAAGTTCCAAAGCAATGAGATGTCCCAGAGAAAAACGCTGATTTCAAAGAAAATTATAAACATGTAAAGACTGTGAGGATGTTCTAGATGACCTAGGATTTAGGACAAGGATGGAAAGGCATCAGGCCTGCAAACTTGTCAATACTACCAAGAAACGACAACTGTTTGTGACTCCTTGGTCCTGCAGAGATACCCTAACTGGAAGTCACCTCTTCTGGGGAAGAGGGCACTTATTTCCCAGGTTAATTCTGTCCTGCAGACCAAGAACTTGGAAGTTCTTTTCAAGCTGTACTGTCTAGTAGGGTAGCAGAGCTGGGAGCCAAAAGTTCCCTTTCCACTCAGAATTATGTTTCTGGTACAGAAAGTTCTAGTTCTTGATAGCTCACTACTGTTGTCATCGATACATGTCAGTGCACAAATACTCCATGTAGTGTTAGAGGTACAATTCTGGCTTTTGCAAAAACTCCCTGTTTCCATCAGAGGAAATGATGGTTAAAGAGGGACTGTGGTTCTTGCCACATCATAATCAGCCATTGGAAAACAGGACTAAAATGAAAAACTGACAAGGTGCTGACAAGGAATGGGAAAAGAAGCTTTTCCTTCATGTAGGAAAACTAAGTCACTGCTTACAAAAATTTATAGAAAGAGTCAGACACTGATTTGCCATCCAAGCTAAAGATTACAAGAAATTCTGTTACAGAAAAAAAGACAAAAATAGAACAAGGCTGGACTGCCATATGAGTAAACTGGGAGGTTCATGGCTCAGGCTTGTAAATGTAAACCCAAAATTTAACGAGCTATGAAATGTAACAATAATGTTCAAGAGTCATTACTAATAGCCCTGAATTGGCACTTCAGTCTGCAGACCAGACTCATTCGACGTCTGCACAGGTTTAGTACCAAAATATCTCTATAAAAAGCCTTCAACCAGTCTTAAAAGAAAGAAAAGTGTCAGAAGGTAGAAAACTAGAAATATGTACAGATTCTTTTCACTTAATTAAAATAAAAAAGCAGCTTCTGGAGCCAATGTTTCAGACTAGTGTAAGAACCTGCCCTGGGCGGCCTCAAGGTCCAGGCAGTGAGGACATGTGTCAAGGAGCAGCCCTGCATTTTGTGCTCCAGAGGGAGCTCAAAGGCATCGAAGACATGAGGAGCCTGGACTCCAGAGTGACACAAGAGAAGGATCACTGGTGGATTCACACAGCAGCACTATGACCCTTGCCAGGATGATCTCTTCCATTCAAGAGGTCAAGTTTTAACCAAGTGTGGGATCTTCTAGAGAGAAAAGAATAGAGGATGCGGGTGGAACACACACAACTTCTCATCTGGGGATGAGGCCCCCACGTATGGTTGTCTGTAGAAGATCCCACCGTGAAAATAAAGATAACTTGTGTAAGTAACTAGAACATTCTTCTATTCCACTTTTGAACAGGATGATAAGAAGAGTCTTACGCTGAATAACGCTGAAGAAGGTCAGAGGATGATGAGTTACAGAAGGAAGTGGGCTACTGGTCAGAACTGAAAAACACAGCAACCATATGGAGTCGGGTGCCCTTGGCAAGGCCAAGCGCAGCTCTGGGGGCATCTAGCAAGACAGAAGGTTATTTTGTTGCCTCTACAAAAAGACTCAGAATTTAGGTACAAAGGGTAGCTACGAAGTTTGTGTTTCACAGCACTTGCTTCAAGTACTTACTGAGCAGGGTGTTGAGAAACTGTGGCTGTCTCATTCCCATACATGTCATTGCAGCTGGCTGTATGTATAGCAGATGGAAGGCAGCTTCTGCAACTGGTTATTAAGAAAAGAAATGGTCTTTAACAATATAATTTACCCCAGCTGGGGGACTCAATGATTAACAGTACATAAGTGATCATATATACCTCAAGGAACTGAGTTTTAAAAAAATATTACAGTACCAATGATTTTTTTTTATCTACAACTATACAGCATTTTCAAGCAGTATGGAAATTTAATGAAATAATTATGATTTATTAATTTACATAAAAATACTTTTTACAGTTAAAGAATAAATCTTAAATGGTAAAAAAAAAAAAAAAAAAGATTAAGAAGCTCCAGCTATTGAGAGTCATGGGAGTTTGTCTGCTCTTCAATAACTTGTTTTACTATTTCTGCCAGTTTTAGTCGATCCACTTTATCTGTGAATCCTCTACCTGAAAGGAAAAGCACAGGTTGTCAGCTGGTGCCGGGCACAATGAGGAAATCAATCATGGCTAGAATCATATACCGACTGAACACAAAATAATGAATGCCTCATATAGAAATTTAGGACATTTGCAAGGGCACCGAAATAACTTATGACCTCAAGTTTTATTGAGAAAGAAAAAAGCACACTTAAAAATCAAGGTAAGGGAAGAGACACGGGTAAGCCCTTGAGAACTTGGCTGATGCCAGCCGTCACCTTCTGCTCATCACCATCCTCTCCTGAGGCCGATGCAGCCCTGTGTGGTCAGGGAGCACCTGAGCGCACAGGCCATGTCGCCCCTAGGTCAGCTGGCCTGTTTTAGGGCTCCTCGCTCTCCGAACTGAGCAGAGGAGGTTTTGTGCTGACACAGGTGAGGCTGCTCGTACTATCTGCTGAAACAGCTTGGCTGCAAGGGCAGCAGCCACCACTAGAATGGGAATAAAAAATAGCCAGAGGAAACAGGCTCAGAACTGCTGGGACAGTCTCTGAAATGATCATCTGTCCATGGTCTTAAGCTCCTAAATGACTTTGAAAACGCTATTCTGAATGTCAAACACAAATTTTCAAGAGGACTTTAAACCTCTTTCACAGAACACCCACAAGGACAATACAGGGGCCTGAAAGTGTTAAAATTGACATCATTCTGGTACAAAGACCAGCAGCTCCTTTTATTTCCATCTAAGATGCTGCTTCCCCTCCTCAGCCAGCCTTAGCACTGCTCTACACGAGCCGGAGGCAGCTCCTTACCGTTCCAGCTGAAGCTCTGCAGAGTGTCCCGCAGCAACTTACACTCTCGATTATACTTCCAGGCTTCCTGCATTACTTCATTCAGCTTCTCATCCTCATTCTCTCCTATTTAGGGGAACACAGATAAACAAGAGGTTTGTGTCATTCTTGCTTTCCACAACACTCAGAGCTGCAGTAAACAGTACGTGCGGTTATTCCGCCTTGTCTCACGCAAGCTAGAAAACTGGTTTGAGAGCAAACACTCCTGCTTGAAAGTCATTTCAAGAGCTCTGCATGTGACTTAACACTAGTATCATGCATGCACCAAAATTACAGTCCTCAGATAAGAGTTTCCCCTTAGAGTTATAACAACAGAATATTTGTTTGTCATTTTTCACTACTAATACAGACTTATCTTGAGGCACAACAAAAAGTCAGTGCCATGAATGTTTAGGAATGTAACTTTCTTAAAAGTGGCAACCTTTACCAGCCTGCGGTAGAATGCACTGCGCTATCACATCTCTGAGCTTTTCCAGAGCCACGTTGGAATCATTACTTCCATTCTCGGGGTCATGGATATAAACACCGTCCTTTGGCTTAGTGCTGCAACAAAACAAGAACAAGGAAGACACAAAAACAATCTGAATGTAACTCCACTTCACTCGGAACTTAACTCCGTTGCTCAGTACGTAATGGAACCAGTAGAGCACACTCTTACACTGGCCGAAAAGCAAGCCAGATTTAGGATTAATTATTACAATGCCCTGCATTATGAGACCACTTGAAATAAAAAAGCAAATGTTTCTTTAAATTACTTCAAGCAATCCTAGAAGTCATCATCGTATTTTCCAGACAGGCAACTCAAGCAAAAGAGAGATTACGTGACCTTTTGAGTAAATGTCAGGATTAGAACAAAATCTTGGAAGTCTTTTTCCCAGTTCTCTCTACCTTACTCAACATATAATCCATCTTCTCATACCAGATCTGCTCCGCTCTTTACAGTGTATTAACAGCTCACTCCATTGCCCTTCTCCCTTCGCTGTGTCAGAAGACACAACATATTATGCAAGTATTACTCAGCTGACAACTATCCACATCGGCAGGAAACTAAGTGTGTAAACCAAACGGGAAGCTCGGGAGCATGGTTGCAAGGGAATAACCTGTAACAGGGCTTACACTCATTCTGCAGCCATCACAGCTGCTGACATTTTGACCATTTTATTTCCATCTCTCAAAAACAGCTTTAGAGAGTTACCCCAGTAATTTCCTTTTGCGCAGGATTGGGTTGTTGACGGAGTGAAGGGGCTTGAGACTGACTTTGAGGTCTTGGATTCTCATGTTCGCAAGCTGCTCTGCATGTGCCTGTTGGATCCCCGCAACCATTGCCTGAAAAAGATGACAAGATTTAGAGAGAAATCCTTGGTTACGTCTACTGCCATATTCTGTTCTCCCCTTGTCAACACACAGCTGCTGCTCTTTAGCACCCATATCCGAGCCCAAATTGCAAATGAAACTGCTCTCATTTGCATACAAAAGTCTTTGCAGGCTTTCACTGAAGCAGAAAGGGAGGTTTTTTGTGCGTAACACTCCATGAAAGGAAATACTCAGGGCCCCCTGGAGCTCCCCAGCTGCCCAGTGCAGCATTTTTGATAAAAATCAAACACTGTTTAGACCTTGTCCATCATCAGCTGGGCAGAGGGTAGGATGTTGTCTAGTGCCTCGGTGGAGTTAAGCCAGGGATGGTCCAGGACTCCTTCAATGGTCAGACGCTCCTCAGGTTTGACCTTCAGCAGCCTGGGTGAGGAATCAAGCAGTCCATAAAGAGCCCCATGCTCAGAGCTTCCATGTAACGATCTGCTGCTCTGGATGGGACCAGAACACTTTGCAATCTATAAACATTAGAGAGGTCCACCAAAGAAACCACGACTAAGAGGTAAAATATTAAGCTGACCCCAAAGCAGGCTTTCCATGAGCCATTTTACCTCACTGACATTTCACCACCTCATTTTACCTCTGGAAATTCACGTCTAGAGCTCATCTGCTAATAGCCCATGCCCATACCCCAGACTCTGGCCGTGGAGAAGCATGGCAAAGTCTCAAAGATGGAGAGGAGAGCTGCTTTCTGCATTAGCTGCTTTTGACATGCAATTGCTCTGCCAAAGGCTCCACTAATGGACAAATTAAGAGGCTACAGGACCTCAAAATAATAATAATAAAAAACCCCACTCTGTTCTGAGATCTCTGAAAAACCTGTGGAATTAGGTTTTGCTGGGAAAAAAATAAATTACTGGAAAAAGGTTTTGCAGATAAACCGCACATTTTCATGATAATTACAACCGTGATTAACTATCAAAAAGTAAAATTTCAGGTCAAATGCTAACAAGTGATTGCAAGAAATTGCACTAGAAACAAAATGACTTGATGACTTTGTCATAGAGTCTCTAAATCAGCTTCCTGACTGCACAGCAGAATTGTTCAATGTACTGAGAAAGTCAGAAAAAAAAATTACAAACTGTCAGGAGGACCATAAGGCAGCTCATAAGTTTCACTTGCAAGGCCATGCCACAAGCAGGTCTCCAATCCAGTTTTAATACAAGGCCCATGGTACATCCACTCCTTTTCTGTCCTTTTTCAGAGTCCTAATCTCTCTCTCAAGCATTCCAATTTGCCTGAGGTCAGAAATCAATCAGCTCAACATGCTTGAAAGGAAGCAGCCACTTGAATGCAGAATACAACCTCCACAAGCAAGACCTCACATGAACAGCAATCAACCTAAACAAGATCTAACCTTCTCCAAAGCTACAAAAAGCCCCAAAGAATTCCTGCATCATAAACCCAGACTCAGATTCACTGGCTGGAAAGGACAGAAGAGCGGGAGCAGGAGCCCTGGGAGAGTTATTAAGAGAATTACATGAAGCCAAGTGAATCCAAGTAGCAACACCGTGTGAATAGAGTTTCATTTTAAAAGACAATGAAATATTTTGACTGAGAAGCTTCTGTACGGGAAGAGCTGACCCTTGGCATAAATAGCAGCTTCACTACAACATAATCCACAGTTTATTTGGTGAAAGACTCTGGCTCGCTCTCCTGCACTGCTGTGAGCAGGTCCCCACACCCTTTCCAAAAAGGCTCTTTTAAGTCCTCAGAGGCTCTATAGAATCTCAAAGGACACAGTGACTGTTGAAAATTGTTTATCGGATTGATTTCTTTTTTCTATTTATGGTCCTTGTACGTGTAGCTTGTACTTCATGCTGAATATGACAAAAAAAATCAGCTGCACATGCTGCAAGCAATTCCCTCACCTTTGGGAAACAGAGCCCTTTGGGAATTCACTTGAAAGGCCATTACCACAATTTTTTAGTTTAAGTAAAGAGCAATACAACATTTTCCACGGCTGACTCACTTTCGCACAATGTCTTTCGCCATTTCCGAGATCTGGCTCCACTCTTCCTCTGGAAATTCAAAGCTTCCCGTCATGATCTTTTTCCGCATGTCCTTTGGAATCGTCCGGCTGTGGTGCTTGGAGTAAAAGGGAGGGTATCCGCACAGCATCACGTAGATGATGACACCCAGGGACCACAGGTCACAGCTCTGAAAAGAAGCAAATGGCCACGTTGGGGAAGGGTTTGCAGCACTTACCTTCCTGGGGGAGACACTGAGATCAGCTCATATCGATCTTGAGTTGCACCCCTGGATTTTACAAAACACGTGGTGCTGCTAACGAAGAAACCCCTGGTGTTACCCCACACATGTATGTTTTTGAGCAGGTTGTTTAAGCAAACCCCTGAAGGATCCACAGGTCAAATTTCTATTTAAGTATCTAAACTCTCACTGCTTCTCTGGTGATTACAGATAGTTTCTAATGAAATCAGTGAGATTTTAGGCATATAATAGGAATCAGATGTCAACAGTCTTTGTGAATACGTTTTTGGGGCCCTCATTTTCAAGAGTCTAATCTGTAGTTAAAACCCCCTCTGACCACGATATACATGTGCATATTTGATCCAATACACCCACAGCTTAACATGGATAATCAAGAAGTCAGAGGTGCTTTTTTCTCCAGTTTACATGTTTGGGAAAGCTGTTGATCATGAAGGTGGATTATGGGCATTTCCAGGGAGAGTCCAAAACGCTGTGGACGGACAGAGCACCTAGGAGCTCGTTGGAGTCTATTTCAGGGAATTAGGCACATGCCAGACACTGCTTTGGCAGTGAGTCACACTTGGCAAGGGGAGGATGAGGCTGCTTTCATTCAGCAGCATTTCCAGCTAGAGCAGCCACGGGCAAAAGCAGCTCAGAGTGAACTGATCAATTCCTTAGGTGATTCTGTCCCATGTGAAAACAAAATTCACCGTTATGACCTTGCAAACCTCAGATGAAGGCAGCTGAATAAGCCAAGGGGAAAACACGTTGGCAGCAGTGTTAACCTTGTCTGCATGTAAACCCCAGCTGACAGCAGAGGAGGATTCCTCTGAACCCATCTCTTATGGGGGCAATCCCAGCAAAAACCCTCTCCAAAATCTTGTTAATATCTGATGGTTCCATTAACAGCATTTGTAAATTCCTCCTTTAATTAGAGGATCGCTAATTAGGCTCGGATCAAGCAATCATTTGAATCATTTATT